TACACAGTGGCTTGCAAAAATATTCAGCCCCCTTGAACTTTTCCACATTTTGTCACATTACAGGCACAAACATGAATCAATTTTATTGGAAAGACCAATACAAAGTGGTGTACACGTGAGAAGTGGAACGAAAATCATAAATGATTCCAAACATTTTTTACAAATAAATGACTGCAAAGTCGGGTGTGCATAATTATTCAGCCCCCTTTGGTCTGAGTGCCCATAGACATTGCCTGATGAGTGCTAATGACTAAATAGAGTGCACCTGTGTGTAATCTAATGTCAGTACAAATACAGCTGCTCTGTGGTGGCCTCAGAGGTTGTCTAAGAGAATATTGGGAGCAGCAACACCATAAAGTCCAAAGAACACACAAGACAGGTCAGGGATAGAGTTACTGAGAAATTTAAAGCAGGCTTAGGCTACAAAAAGATTTCCCAAGCCTTGAACATCCCACAGGGCACTGTTCAAGCGATCATTCAGAAATGGATGGAGTATGGCACAACTGTAAACCTACCAAGACAAGGCCGTCCACCTAAGCTCACAGGCCGAACAAGGAGAGCGCTGATCAGAAATGCAGCCAAGAGGCCCATGGTGACTCTGGACGAGCTGCAGAGATCTACAGCTCAGGTGGGGGAATCTGTCCACAGGACAGCTATTAGTCGTGCACTGCACAAAGTTGGCCTTTATGGAAGAGTGCCAAGAAGAAAGCCATTGTTAACAGAAAACCATAAGAAGTCCCATTTGCAGTTTGCCACAAGCCATGTGGGGGACACAGCAAACATGTGGAAGAAGGTGCTCTGGTCAGATGAGACCAAAATGGAACTTTTTGGCCAAAATGCAAAACACTATATATGTGGCGGAAAACCAACACTGCACATCACTCTGAACACTGTCAAATATGGTGGTGGCAGCATCAGGCTCTGGGGATGCTTCTCTTCAGCAGGGACAGGGAAGCTGGTCAGAGTTGATGGGAAGATGGATGGAGCCAAATACAGGGCAATCTTGGAAGAAAACCTCTTGGAGTCTGCAAAAGACTTGAGACTGAGGCGGAGGTTCACCTTCCAGCAGGACAGCAACCCTAAACATAAAGCCATGGCAACAATGGAAAGGTTTAAAACAAAACATATCCATGTGTTAGAATGGCCCAGTCAAAGTCCAGATCTAAATCCAATCGAGTGGCAAGATCTGAAAACTGCTGTTCACAAACGCTGTCCATCTAATCTGACTGAGCTGGAGCTGTTTTGCAAGGAAGAATGGGCAAGGATTTCAGTCTCTAGATGTGCAAAGCTTGTAGAGACATACCCTAAAATACTGGCAGCTGTAATTGCAGCAAAAGGTGGTTCTACAAAGTATTGACTCAGGGGGCTGAATAATTATGCACACCCCACCTTTTAGTTATTTATTTGTAAATAATGTTTGGAATCATGTATGATTTTCGTTCCACTTCTCACGTGTACACCACTTTGTATTGGTCTTTCACGTGGAATTCCAATAAAATTGATTCATGTTTGTGCCTGTAATGTGACAAAATGTGGAAAAGTTCAAGGGGGCCAAATACTTTTGCAAGCCACTGTAGATAAAGATATGGACATTTTCATCTTTTCTGATGGTGTATGGCAACTAAATCAAGAAAATAAATTACAGAAGTCATATTTTCAGTATTTAATACTCACTTTTCCAGTTAAAGCTTGGTAGTTTGGGTTCCTGAATGGAAAGGGAGGTGCTCCCAACACCCAGCCAGAACAGAGACAAATCTGAGGGGAGGATAGGATGATAGAAGAATACCAGCAAGATACAAACTGATCTTTAAATGACAGTGACTGTTCCTCCTACCTGAGGAGCTGTCGCACAGATGATCAGAATCCTCTGCTGAGGTGTTCCAAACAGCTTCCGACCCCTGGAACCAGGTACATTAGTCCGGAAAGCCAGGAGGACTACAATAGTCTTAACAAGGAGGCAGGACAAACACAGAACAAAGCTGATCCCAAATGCTGCCTGGCGGAGCCTACATGTCCACCAAGACGGCTGACCAATGAACACCAAAGAACACAGGAAACAGAGCTTGAGTGACAGGAGAAGCAAGAAACTTATTTCTGAGTTGTTGGCCTTGACGATGGGTGTAAAGCGGAAACTGTGAAAGACAATGGTGATGATGGTGGTCAGTAAGAATCCCAACAGGGTGAGTGCAACTAGGATGATTCCCATGGTGTCATAGAAAGAGAGGAATTCTTCTTCCCCTGCAACACATTTCACTTTTTCTTTGTCTGACCAGAAGTACTCAGGACATTTTGTGCACTCAGTAGAACCTTTGGGAACACAAAACGTAAATATATGTGTGTAAACATTATGGAAGTTTTCCTTGCATATCAACATATCTTGATGGTTCTTCAAGTGTCCATCTTTAAATTCAATGACCTTCTTCATTGCACTACATAATAATTTATTTTTTTATCTTCTTTAAAAAAATAAAATAAAATAACATATATTGGCTACCAGTCTGGTTGCTGATCTCTCCATCTGCACAGGGCAAACAATCAAAGCAGCATTTGGGCTCTCCTTGGCGTGTGGCCTGCCTGCTGCCAGGGGGACATGGAGCACTACACTGAGATACAGGAACCTGAACAAGGAACAGAGAAACGTAAACAACAATCAACATGTTGCTTTTGCTATTTAAGATAGTGTATCAAGTTAATTTGAACAGTTTCATAACAAATACGTGCAGGATAACTATGACCTACCTGTAACTGTCCTTTTGTCCATACAATGGTGTTCTTTTTTATTTGCAACTGCTCTCTCTGTGGTGCTGAAGCATCGTATGTTCCAACTTTGATAAATCTAACATAAAGTAGCATAAAATATTTCAAAAGGCCAAAGAATTTATATATTGAAGAGTTTTATCAAAAAATTGCAGTTATCCTCAGATAAGTAAAATAAATATAACTATAGTTTATTGTTTATAATTACTTTAACATGCAGTTCATTTACACTTTAAAGTATTATATTCCACCTGATTTTATCCTTGCTGTCCTTCTGCCAGTTAATAATGTCATAAAGGGGGACTGGCTCTCCATTGGAGTCAAAGTATACTTTATCATTAAACTGGTTGGTGAAATTGACCATATTCAGATATTGAAGAAACTACATGAAAAGAGAATTAGAAAAACATAAGAATGGCAAAAAAAAAAAAACCCTACACATGAATCCCATGAATGTTCATTTAAAGATTTTATAATAATAATTACAATTACCTGACCATTTGAAAATGAGCTGTGTTTCTCACACAATCCCCCGCTTGGTCCTGCTGAATCACAGTTCAAAAAAGTGTGCAGAGCATGGGCAACGGCATACACAGCTTTATAAACATTGTAGGATATTCGAACCTGAGATACATCACTATAACTGCTGTCAGTGTTTCTCAAATCCTCTGACCCTGTGCATACAGGCTTTTCAAAAGCATATTCACCATCTTTATAAGCTGACATGTTAAATAAACTTTTTTGTCCCACATTAAATCTGACCATATAAAGAGAATTGTTTTGGAAACCTGAGTTGTAACGAAAACTATCATTAACATTGAAATCATCTGCTTTATAGTCTTTGGCTCTTTGGCTTTCAAACTCTAGCTTACAACCAAAATGTTCTTCCCAGAACATATTGAAAAATTCCATTCCTGGTTTGGGAGAGGGTCGGACATTCAAAAGAAACTCTTTCAAGCC